ACACTTCATGGGCACTATAGATTTTGACTGACAGTCTTTTCATTTCGTCAATTTCACCCTCAGTCACTGTTGGCGATGTTGTCTTGCCTTCTGTTGCGGCCTCACAGATTGCTCTGTGCCGCCACATAAAAAAAAAGACACATAGACGAGACACACACATTGCTCTCATGTGCATGTGCAGGTTCCACAGCATTTTCTTTTTTGTTAAGAAGCACCAACTCACACAACAAGTTCATCTAAACTACAGAATGGCTGATCATATATACAAGTGTTCTTGCAAGCATTGCACAAGTGCATTTGTGAAAGTTTGATTGTGCAAGAGAGTGCTAACAGACTTGGTGGATACTATTCTGTTGAAGTTTTCATAAAAAACTAACGCTGTTTGTGAAGATGGCACTTTGCATTTCACATGAAAATTCTTTCATGGAGGGGCAATTTTCATTAAAGTAAGCAATGATTAACATAAGGGAGGAGTCACTTGAAGCACAAAAGTTGGTGTACGATGAGGGGTTTCTCACACAGGAGGCGGTACTGCAAAATACTTTACAAACAAGAACATAGTTTGAAGTACAAATATCAGATAGGAAAAAAGCTTGGAGAGGATGCCAAAAAAAAAAAAAAGAACTGTGGTTCTTGTGAAATAGATTCAGTCGCAAGAACGAAAACTGATGGAAGACATCATCAGCCTGACTACGTCCACTGCAGTACAAAGGCCTCTCCCATGTTCTGCCAGTTAATCCGGTCCTGTGCTTGCTGCAGCCAATTTATACCCGCAAACTTCTTAATCTCATCTGCCCACCTAACCTTCTGTCTCCCCCTAACCCACTTGCCTTCTCTGGGAATCCAGTTAGTTACCCTTAATGACCAGTGGTTATCCTGTCTACGTGCTACATGCCCGGCCCATGACCATTTCCTCTTCTTGATTTCAACTATATCCTTAACCCCTGTTTGTTCCCTAATCCACTCTGCTCTCTTCTTGTCTCTTAAGGTTACACCTACCATTTTTCTTTCCACTGCTCGCTGCTTCGTCCTCAATTTAAGCTGAACCCTCTTTGTAAGTCTCCAGGCTTCTGCTCCCTAGCTAAGTACCGGCAAGATACAGCTGTTATATACCTTCCTCTTGAGGGATAGTGGCAATCTACCTGTCATAATTTGAGAGTGCTTGCCAAATGTGCTCCACCCTGGAAGACACTCAGCTTCAAATCTCTATGCTGCAGTGATAGATTGAATCGCTGAAACAGCAATACCATTAATGGTGTAAATGAAGTAGCTATTCTGTTTGCAGATACACATTTATTGTGTTAAATATTGATATATAACAGCGACCACAATGCAACTGCATGAAAGAGGACAAAGTCTGTTTTGGTTGATGCTGGACTGGCGCCATTTCGCTCGCTGAGTTCTGTCGATTGTGAACAGATTATTAAAAAAGTTAGTCATAACATTATTGGTGGAGGTTGACAACTTCTGTACCTCGATGGAGACTCGCAGCGGTCGCAACACCGGTGACCCCTCAAATGCTTCAACTGCTGTTACTTCCTCACCGCCGCCCTCTTCAGCCTCGAATGCCTATGCAGTACTATTTATTTTTCAACTATTGACCTTCGGTCAGGCGACTAGCAGATAGCCGTCGACGAGATGGACCGGAAGAAGACCGCATTCATCACTCCTAACGGTCTTCATCAGTTTAAGGTGATGCCCTTTGGTCTCTGCAATGCGCCAGCCATATTTGAAAGAATGATCGACTCATTGCTCCAAGGGTTCAAATGGTCCACCTGCTTGTGTTACCTTGATGATGTTACTTTTCTTTTCGCCCGCATTCGACTCACATCTCGATCGTTTATCAGCTATTATGGACGTTTTATGTTGAGCCAGACTTCAGTTGAATGCTTCCAAGTGCCACTTCGCTCGTCGTCAAATCTCCGTGCTTGGTCACCTTGTCGATGCCCAAGTTATGCATCCAGACCCAGAGAAAATTTGTGCAATTAGTCTTTCCTGTTCTGAAGACCACAAAGCATGTCTGCAGTTTTGTGGGGTTGTGTTCCTATTTAAATGTTTTGTTAAGGACATTGCAACCATTGCACACACCCTCACGGAGGTCTTGAAGAAAGACGTCTCGTTTTACTGGAGCCATGACCAAGCATCATCGTTTTCCCAACTTCTAATCCTGCTTACAATGCCACAAATCTTGGCTCACTTTGATCTATCAGCCCCAACCAAAGTTCTCACGGACGCCAGCGAACACTGCATAGGAGCAGTGCTATTCCAGCACTAATGATACACGACCGTGTTGTAGCCTACCCAAGCCAACTGTGACCTTCAGCCAAGCGCAACTATTTCATCATGGAGCGCGAAAGTCTCGCCCTTGTGTGGGCAATCGCCAAGTTTCGTCCACACCATTACGGGCGCTCATTCCATGTCGTCACCAACGCGCTCTGCTGCTGGCTAGACTAACTGAAGGACCCAACAGGATGTCTCGCTCATTGGGCCCTACGCCTTCAAAAATACACATTCTCTATAATGTATAAAACAGGGCGATTGCATCAGGATGCGGATTGTTTATCCCCGGACGTTTTTTCCATGTCACAGCTACTGAACCTTGGCGAAGAGCAGCGTCGGGATGCTTCTTAAAAACTCTTTCATTAACAAACTGGTGTCAACGCCTCGTGATCCGTCCCTACGAATGTTTCTGGTCAAAGATGGGGTCCTATGCCGCCGTAACCTTGATTCCTTCGGATCTGACCTACTTCCTGTCATCTCAGCACACCTGCGTTTGACTGCCCTCAGTTAACTTCATGACGTTCCCATGGTGGGCCACTTGGGCGTTTCTCGCACACACGACTGTGTACGACGTCGTTTTTCTGGCCTGAGCTTGCCTGTTCGGTTCGTCGCTATGTCGCTACTTGTGAGCCCTGCTATCATCACAAAACGCCGTCTGCCCTTCCAGCTGGCTACCTTTAGTTGATTGACATTCCCGCTGAACGTTTTTTTTTTGTCGAGTTGGTCTCGACCTGCTCGGCCCTTTTCCACCCTCCACAGCCGGAAATGAATGGATTGCTGTCGCCCCAGACTGCGCGACATTGTACGAAATCACACGAGCACTCCTGACCAGTTGTGTTACGGACGTTGCGGACTTTCTGTTGTACGACTTAATATTATTGCACGGAGCTCTTCGCCAACTTCTCACCGAACGTGGCCGTACCTTCCTCTCAGCTGTCGTTCATGAAAGCCTGAGGTCTTGCCATACCAAGCACAAATTTACTACTTCAAAACGTCCCCAGTCGAATGGCCTCACGGAGCGCCTCAACAGGACCATAACTAATATACTCGCCAAATATGTTGCGACTGACCACCAAGATTGGGACATTCATTTGCCGTGTGACATTCGCCTACAATTTCTCCTATACCAACACTGCCGGCTATTCGTCCTTCTATCTCCTATATGGCCGTGAACCAACTCTACGCTTGGACACATTGCTACTTGTGGCCACTGAGTATGCTGGGGAAGCCATCGCCTGCGCCGACCACGAGCATCAAGTTGTCCGTAACCGTCTACAGGCCTCACAGGAGCACTAACGACAGCTCTACAATTTTCATCATAGGGACATGCACTTTTTCCCGGGTTTTCTCATGCTCCTATAGCCACCCACTCATCGTGTGGGACTGTCTGAGAAACTGTTGTCGCCCTACACTGGACCATTCCGTATCATTCGCCAGGTGACTGACGTCACGTACGAGATTGTTTCAACCAATCTAACAAAGTCATCGTCAGCTTCAAGCGACACCGTTCACGTGGCTTTGCTGAAGCCCTGTTACCCCCCTTTTGGCATTTCCTGATGGATTATGCACTGGGACGGTGCTTCTACCGCCGGGGTTTATGATACATAACAGCCGCCACAACACAGCTGCATGAAAGAAGAGGATGAAGTCAGTTTTGGTTGATGCTGGACTGGTGCCATCTTGCTCGCCGAGCTCTGTCCATTGTGAATAGATTATTAAAGAAGTTACTCGTAACAATATGGTATACGTATATTATAAAGGACGCTCTCAGCCAAGGTAATAAGGCAGGGTTTGCAGCAAATTTGAGTGCTTCTTTTCTTCTCTCCTGTCGAAGGTTTGTTTCCTATTTTCCAAGCAGACTTACCAGTCCTAGAATTTGGTTAGATCATCATGAAAAACATGGAAGTCGGGGTGTTTGGAAAAATTAAATTGGTAGACACCCTGATTTGAGGTGAAAATTTCGGTGCAAACCAAGAGGAAGCACAAAGAAAACGCAAGCGCTGGTGCTGACTCGTGTGCCCGATTATTTGTTAGAAATTTATGTTATTACCCATGCAATACGTCTTGTTACACATGCATGTGCAAAGTTCTGTGGTTGTGGCATTTATATGCGTTCTTGTGAGAAGAATGAAGCGATTTTCAGTCTGTCCCAGTGCTTGTCTGTTCCATTTCTTGTGGTTTGTCATAGGTGAAGTTTTCACCTTAAATTACTGTATCTTTAATGTGCGTTAAAAAAAAAAGTGCTCAAGGTGATCACGAGCGTGATATAACTTCTTTTCCAGTGCCGTACCTCTCTGCTTAGCTCCCGGTGTGTTTGCCAGAATGAGAGAAGAGAGAAAGCAGTTACAGCGTGCGATTAATTGCTATACTTCTGCTCATATTTGACGAATTTAAAGAAAACTTTTCTATGGTCAGTTCATGCGGCAATGAACTCCTTCAGCGAAGCCATGCGATGGTTACTTGAAAAAGGGTTGTGGAGCTCCGTGAAAGATCTCCAACTCTATGAGATCACAAAAATGCAAGTTTGACTCTTGGACTTGCCACTAGCAGTGCAAAGCCTCTACTTAATCAACAAATAATTATACTGTAACAAGATTTTTGTGTATAATGTGTCTGTCATGTTCGTTTCTATTAAACTATGAGACAAATGAGTGGTATCGGCTATTGAGGAAGTAGACTTTGCTATGGTAGCTGTTTAAGCAGTACATCTTATCATGCAGACGATTACGCAAGTGGATGCGAAGTACGACGTCTTGCGCCACTACGACCCCTCACAGCAAAGCAGCCGTGAGGACATCATGGTCCTTGATTGCTCCTGGCAAAAGGCTGCTGTGCTACAGCAACCACCAAGTGCTGATGCAGCCTGCCATTTGGTGCGTGTTTCTTTCGCTGAGTCTCCTGCAATGTTGTGACAAACATACTTGTGCCTTACAAAAGAATGCAGCTTACAAATTTTTTGTATAGTGCGAGCAGCAATGCATTTTATAGACATCTTTAAGATGGCAAACGAAGGAGTGACGCGCAGATAAAAGTATAATTTACCTTCTTCAATTGCCTTTATTTACTTTATCAGCATTTCTTGGCTTCTGAAGTAAAAGGTTTTCATGTGGCAATTGTAGTTGAAGGGGCCCTTCAACACTGTTCTACCATTTATTACTCCTGGGTTGTGTAGACTGATGTACAAACAAACTAATACAGGAAGAATGGCAGTGATAATTGCTTGCAGTGATAAGTTTTTATTCAGAAAATGCAATATACAAGAAAAATAATTCATACCATGTTCCCAAAGGGAGCCTTGATGGGATGCAAAGCAGCAGCGTGGTGTGTGGGGAGGTGTGGCAGTCGTGGCAGCGAAGCGAGCGGCAGTTGCAATAGGTGTTGCGGGTGAATGGACGAGGCGGCAGCTGTGGGCACTGCGGCGAGTGCGCGGCAGGCAAGAGAGAGAGTGATGTCAACGTGCATCTGAGGCTTAAACCACTTGGCACCGCTCCATCACCTGCGTAAGGGTAGTGCGTTGTGGCGCGTTCGTAGGATGCTCGAAGGGACAGCGTACCTGCCAAATTTCCCGGATTTCGACCGCGTTTTGTGTGTGTACGGTTGTCATGAAAGTCTCCCTGAATATACAGGCCAATCCACTCCAGGCTTTATGTGAACCCACCGCATTTTATTATAAACGAATTTAAGAGGCGTTCAACTAAACGTAAAATAGAATCTCAGTGATGCGAAATCGCGGCTGATACGAATTCGCTGAATTCCCCAGCCAAATTCTACTGTGTCCATTGGGCCAAAACTCGAATGTTCCAAACACTTGTCCTAATTGCGGTGGGTGATATGAAATTTTGTACCGAAAACGTTGAAGAAAGGCCGAGAACACTGTGCTCGAGGCTTCAGAAGTACGTGTGTGACCAGCGCATGCACAGTCTTCTACAAGCGCGTGTGGTTGTCGTTGCCACAACCGTTGTGGACGAAAACGGGGTTGTTCTTGACACGGTAATGTACGGCGATGACGTAACCTACAGAACTGAAAGTGAGTGCACATCCAACGCTTGACCAGTCAAAGCGACGTTGCTTTCTGCAAACTTTGTGGTTGAAACTGCGGCAGATGCGATCATAGATATATTTAAAGGACTTGGTTTAGAAGAAACGTGCGCAGCTAGCGCACGCGGATAGAAAAGGAAACTACGCTGTTTGCCGCAACTGTCGTGCACAAAACAGCGGCCGCAACGACGCGATGGCGATCTACGATCTCCGAGGGCACGCAGCGAAAGGCCTGACACCACATATTTGTTGCAGCGCGTCAGCGCGAGGCTTTTTGACGTGGCGAGTGGGCGCGTGGCTACGCAAAGGCGCACGCTTTTAGTCTCTTTCTATATGAGAGAGAGCTCGACACCGCGTCGAAAAGACGTGCATCGACGTGTTGCGATGGGTATTTGTGGTCAGGCCTTAACACAGAGCTAGATTACAGGCAGTAAAGACGTAAAAAAAGGCTAGACGCGTTTGACCGCAGTGACGCGATAGCGATCTAGGAGCTCCGAGGGCATGGGCTAACGCAGCGGTAGATTACAGGCAGTAACGACGCAAAAAAGCTCGGCGCGTGTTGGCGTTTCTGTCAAATGAATCGAGTACCAAGCGAAGCTATGACCCTATCTTTCGTGGCAGCCAGTTGCACTGTCCCATCCGTTCACGTGTGTCCTAGGAAGACATACGCGAGTTGTTTTGATGGAAATTGATTTTGCTAGTTGTTTTGATGACGCGAAATTTCGGCAGTATTTGCGCTCCCACTTTACGACTCTCACCCCAGTGGGAAAACCTGCCCTTGTGTGTTCAGCCACTCCTAGCCAATGCGAGACTGCAACGCCGATGTTTGCAATTGGGACCCCCCCCCCCTTATTTTGTTTTTCGCGATGATTTCTTTTGTTTGTTCTCTTTCGGTTTTTGTTTGTTTTCTTTCAATTGCCCCCCCCCCCCCGCGCTTTCGTTGCAGAAATCTTCCGGGTGCAGAATCCTTAAACTTGGCAGGTATGCAGGCTAGTCAAAGAGCTGCTTCACATCAAAATGCCTACCCTTAACTTGATTTTCGCGGCTTTACCTGAGCACATATCACGCGCCCTGACTAGCCCGGTGACTTCAGATGGCTCCCCCAATGAAATGAGCTAGAAGAGCCTATGTAGGGGAAGCTCTCGCACCATTGTTTTGTGTTCCTTCTAACGTAATGTTGAGTCTGTTGTCAAAGTAACAAATGTGGTGCCTGACGCCTGACTTGCCAAAACGGGAGTGGGCGCAACTGTTTCGAAGCGAGGTATTTTCTGCTGTTCTTTACAACATTTCGTCTCACTCCCTTCTTTTATTCTGAGAAAGGAACTTGTGGAACGACCAAGGCGGTGAAGGGCGGTAAAGAGGTGCAATGCACCTCTTCAACAACAATCAAGAGCCTACCACACGTGCGGAAAGAGACTGCTTGCTAACTCGCAAAAGGAAGAAAAGGGAAAAGAGAGAGAAAGGTCTTTCGTATGCACATGCAACCTGTGCAAGCTAAAGATCTAGAGGCCAAATGGTAGCCAGCATCTCTGTTGTGCTTTGTTGTCGCTGTGAGCTTTTTTGTTGTGGCCGTGTCTGTTTGGGGTTCGATGAAAGAGCACAGGAAAGAAAAATAAAACACATTAGTGATCTCAGTTCTGATGACAAGCCACGATCTCCTGTAGGGTTACGTTTATCAAATCATAGGCTTGGAGCCATCCCCTGTTATATGTGGCGAGTGCCACTACGTGCTGATGTGGTCAGCAGCAGTGCAGTGGTTTCATGTCGTGATTAAAATACTAAATCATTTGATATCAGCACTTACACCAATGCTAAAATTATAGCCAGTGATCACTCTACGTAAACACAGATAAAAGAAGGTGCTTCAAGAGTGTTGGAGGACCCCCTTTAGGGACGCTTAGTTGTATTGAAGATAAATTTCTGTATTCTATGGACACAAAGGTATAAAAGGTCAAGTACTTCTTTATATTGAGAGTTTTCTTGTACAGTTCAAACTTGATATACATGTGAAGTTTGGTAAAACGGGCACTTTACTTCGTTATATTGAAATCTTATTATAGTATTTAAATTTAATATTTTATGCAACTGTAGTTCCTGGCAAGTCTTTTTTTTTTCTCTCATGAAGGTGCTGTAATAATTGTTCTTAGTAACAGAGAAGTGCAATAGAAACTATGCTGAAGTAAAAAAAAAAAAAAGATGAGGTAGTTCATACTAGCCATGTAAAGCTTGACAAGCAATGAAATTGGTTGATCTAAGCGGCTTAGCATAACCTTATTGGCTGATGCTTTCCTTGGCGTAGACAGAGTCGAGTTGAACCACAGCTGGTCACAGACCATGCAATGATGTCCAAACCCCAGCACCAGAAACTAACGGGCAAAACTGACTGTGGAAGTACAAGTGCGGGCCTTTCGTTGCTGGTGCTCGGTAGGGCTGCTTCGCGGACTGTCAGTGGGCGTGGCTTGGTGGCAGAAACTGCTCCTTGGCACATGCACAGCTAGGCAAGATTAAACTCTGGTGGTTTGCATCTGCGGCTTGGTTTTTGCCAGGCAACAGTGCAGAAGGGTTCTTTTTTGCAGAGACGGATGTTTTACCTCAAGCTTCCATTAGGGGCAAAGCTCCTTAGGGTCGAGCGATATGCGCTGCCTGTTGTTACACGTCATGTCGATAAAAAACAGGCGTATTCCTGACCACACATTTTCTTTCTGCCATCATGGCACAGCATATGCAAGGTACTTACCGTACACCACGACGATGATGAGTGTGTACAATGACTGACTTGTGCAGGGTATGATGTCTCGATATGCTCTACGATGCATTTCCTATGGCTGGCTGGAAACAACCAACAACCACCAGGGGAATGTGCACAGACCTCGTTTTTGCCAATTGCAGGCTAGATATGATACCACAAAGCAGTAGTAATGAAAGTGAAACGACATTCACAACTCAACTCAACCTACCATTTTTGATCAATAAATATTGTATATTGCTGTACAATGCTTTGACACTCATTTACATGCAGAGCTGTCAATGTCACAGGTGATTTACGGAAACATTGAACGATCCCACTGCTTCGCCCACTCATCATCACTCACTTCGGGAATATGCTGTGATTTTTGTGTTGATTCTAAGATAGATTGGGTCACCATATTGACAGTTTGTCTTTACCAGGCTACATGACATGCAAAAAAGCTGAAGCACACGCACAACACATCAGTAATCAGTGTGATCTAAACAATCGCATATACTCTGCCTCTCCCCGCAGGGACGCCTGCGCAAGTAGGCGTTTAGTGTGTAGCGACACCACGGACCTGAGCTAACAAGGGAGTTTTGACTCCCTCTCACGCCTAGCCGTGCATGGCTTTGCCGTGTCCGGAGAAAAGGGGATCCTGGGGGTTGAGCCGACGCCGGGTGATTGGACCTTTAAGGCCCCCCCCGGCAGAGGCAACACACCCCTTTGGTCCCGGCTTCACGTAGACGGCACCCCTGGGCTGACCCACCCAGGGGAAATCGGCAGTCGCCTTTTCCTATCTCTCTCTTCCTACATCTTCGTCTTTATCTCTCACTTTTTATCTGTCCTGTCATCTTGTCTTTTCCGTTTACTTCCGAATTTCCTGGCGGCGAGAGTTAACCCTGTGTAGTTACCCAACCTTGGGTTGTTATACTCGGTTATAGCGGCGATGCATGGCTGGCGTCTCCAAGTGTTCTCTAGTCAACCTTGTAGCGTCCCCTTGTTGGGCTCGGTGGTGGGTGGCCACCATCGCCGCCGAATTTTATAGTATTTTTATGGCAAAAGCTTTTCCCCCTCTTCCTGATCGCTCCCTAAAAAGGTGGCGCA